TTGCAGCATGTTGCAAGCTGGTCGCGCATAGGGCTAGTGCGCGAGGGACTCGGATCGGAAAAACAAAAGCCGAGCAACACGAGTAGAGCAGAAAAAGGATCGATAAATCAACACGATCAACACAATTGATCAATCATCCCATACATCATATCAAAACCCATCATTCATCTCAGGAAGCCTAGAAACAGTGCTTCAATCTGACATAAGTATAATTATAAAAAAGCACTTTATAAAAATCTAGAAGTTATCTAGGGCTAGTTTTACCTAGTAGCTAATATAAAAGCTAAGTACAGTATCTAGAATAAAGACAGGTATAACTTTAATAAGTTAGGCTTTATAATAAGCTAGATATTAACTAGAGTAGTTATTACAGCTTTAGAGAAATAAAAACAGCTAAAAGCAATATAGTAAAGTAATAAAAAGTAAATAATAGTTATCTAAAGCATTAATATAATAAGGTAGGCTATAAGATTATAAAGCTTTAAGCAGTAAATAAGGCTGCTACATAACATAAATTGCATAAAAAGAAGTAAATTTAGGTAGAAAAAACCTTAATAGTTAAGAATAGGGCTTGTTTAACTACTTTAAAGGAGTTTAAAGCGCGTAGTAATAGGAAGAAGCTAAAGACATAAGTGCGCGCTAAAAAAAAGTAAGCTAAGTTAAAAGTAATATAAGTAGTGTAATTAGACTAGGCATAACTTACATATATGTAAGTAAGTAGTAGAAGTAGACTCTAAATAATATCTTGTGTTGTATTACTCTATACAGGGCTAAAGTGAGCTGTTTTGCGAGAGAATGGGGTGGTTTTAGTGGGGGCTTGGCAAAAGTGGCCGGCCAACCCGTTAGGTACGTTATATTTACTGCTTTACTAATTTTATTAAGATCCTCTTAGGAACACCTTAAGAACAACATGCAGTATAAAAATATGTAAAGACATGTTTTAAACATGTTTAGAACCTAACCTAAATTATATATAAATTTATTCCTTATTATCTTTACCTTTCTCTACATTATCCTTACTCTTTAAGTTATTCTAGCCTTTAAACTACTTAGTGCTATTGCATGCGTTATTTTATTTGCATTCTAAACATATTAGAAATACGTTAGGATAATAGAAGAGGCAGGAAGTTACCTTTTAGGTTTAGGTTTCCTTTAATAGCGCTAAAGCTCTTACAAACCTTATAAAGAAACACTCTGCTTGCCTTTTTAATTATATTCCTAGCTGTAGTAAAGTTAACTTAAATATGTTTTTAACAAGTTATTAAAAGTTTAATAAGGCAGAAACATACTTTACTAGCCTTTTAATCTTTACTATTATTTATTTTCTTGTAGAGGGGAAGCTTAAGGCGTTTAGAACTAGTTAAGATTTACTTTATAAAGTGTTTAGAACAGCGCTGCCTAACGTGTTTTAAGTGGGATGCAGTTAGCTTTAGGTTAACTCTAACCTGCGTGTTGCAACAGCGCGGGATTAGTAAGAGCTTAGCAACGTTCTAAACAGGTTTAAAACCCCTTTCTTTAACAATCTTGTTATGCTTCTTTATAACTTCTAAGAAGAAGTCTGCTATGCTATTAAAAACATAATGTAAACAGGTTATTAATAACCTACTATAAGTAAGATTAATCTTTGCTATAGAAGGATTTCTAGTCTGCTCTGCTGCCTTTACCTAGACCTCTTTATAGTACTTCTTAATGTGATTAACTAGCGCTCTTTGCAACTTAAACATGTTCTAAACACATTAAGATGTGTTTTAAATGCAATTAAACATGTTTAAAACGCATTAGGAACAGATTATAACTTACTATGCAGAGCTCTCCACCCACACTAACTCTGCAATATACCTCTCTAAAATACACGCAAATTGTGTTATCCTTATTCTAAACGCGTTAGAAACCTATTGCTATTAAGTTAAGATGCCTACTTCACTAAAGGGCTTAGCGCTAAAGGGCAAGCAACTAAGGCTGCAGTATGCCTTGTAGGCTTCCTAGAACGCATTTAGATGGGCTAGGCAATGGAAGTGTCAGATTGAAGCACTGTTTCTGGGCTTCCTGAGATGAATGATGGGTTTGGATATGATGTATGGGATGATGATTGATTGTATTGATTTATCGATCCTTTTTTCTGCTCTACTCGTGTTGCTCGGCTTTTGTTTTTCCGATCCGAGTCCCTCGCGCACTAGCCCTATGCGCGACCAGCTTGCAACATGCTGCAAAATGCTGCAAAATGCTGCAACATGCAGCAATTTGCAGCAACATACTGTTCGAGCTTATTGCTCGTACTATGTAGCAGCTTTCGTCAAACGTTCCTCCTGTCTTGACAGTAGGTGCGCATATCTGACAGGAAGTAGGAGCTACTTACGCTTATTAAAAGCTGTTTAGACATGTTCACAAGGTGTCAGCGAGAAGTAGTGATGGGGTTGGTAGGGTGAGGAAATAGGAATTTTAGTTGGTGGGGTTAAATTTTGTGTGGTCGACTTACCTAATAGTTGGTTAGCCGAGGTAAAAGTGTGGTGGGGTTACCTGTAGGCACTGCTTGTGGCACGTTAAGCGCCGATGCCAGGATCCAGGTGGAGGATTGGTGGGAAGAGAAGTTAGGATCCATTTAGGTATGCTTGTGGCACGTTAAGCGCTGATGCCAGGATCCAGACAGCTTCGGCAGCTGTTCATGCCAGGACGGCGGTTTCGGAGTCGCTGTTCCGCATGCAACAGATATTCGGGGCATGTCGAAGTGGAGGGCAGAAGTGACGGTTTCTCTGAAAAGACATCTGGCAGTGCGCCTTGCAGGCGCCAAGAGTGGGCCCAAGCGCGGTGGCCAAGCGCTGTGGACTGTTCTGCAATTCGCCACGCGATTGAATCCTTCTCGTCGCACTACCTTTAGGCGATCAAAGTTATGGCGTATTGTCGATATTTGAATAGCCGTCTGATTATTTCTTCCCTCTGCCATCCTTTTTCACGAGTTATATCGCCCCTAAGAGCTAGGAGTTCCTTCACAGAATTTACTCGTTCTCTGGATGGTCAATCAATGGAGGAACCTTCTGAACTATTCGAGTATACGTCCGGGCGATGGATGTTTATCAGCCCCATTCTTTTAAAGCCGACGCTCATCACTGACTATGGACTGGAGTTACAATGATGCCCTGAGGCGTTCTGAAAGAAGACGTGTCTTCAACGTATCCGAATTCAAGCGCCTTGCGGTCGCATCCGTCAATCAGAACGCAGAAGATGTCGCTCGTTTTGAAAAGCTGGCTGAAGGGGGTTTCAATCGAACGTTCCTTATCACTATGCGTGATGGCTTTCAGTTCGTTGGGCGCATCCCCTATCCGGTTACCGAACCAAAGGACCTAGTCATAGCCAGCGAAGTCGCGACGATGGATTTTCTCCGCTCACACGGCATACCTGTCCCCAAGATCTACGGTTACTCGGCCACATCGGAAAACGCTGCGGGCACTGAATACGTCTTCATGGAGCTCGTCCGGGGAACGAACTTGGGCGACATCTGGTTTAACATGCCTGAGAAAGCAAGGATCACCATCATCACTAGACTCGTGGAGTTGGAGTCTCGACTATTTGCTCTTCGATTTCCGGCAAGTGGAAGTCTGTACTATACCAAGGATCTGCAAGCTGGATCCAACAAGGTTGACATTCCTACCGCCTATTCTGCGCGCGAGAGTCGCTTCTGCATTGGTCCTGATACAACATTCGGCTTATGGTATGGAAAAAGACACAGTCTCCAGGTTTATCGTGGACCATGTATGTATCAGCCCTATCATTTACATATTCAGATGCACTTTCTATCAACGATCTGCTTTGAATATCCCTACTCTACGTTAGCAATTGTAACTAAATATCCAAAAGACACAGACCCAGCAGCGGCTCTTACAGCCGGTGCCAAGAAGGAGATTGCATACTTGATGGAATTTGGACGACCGCTTCACCCTTTTCAACGTCTGCGCAGAGAGATATACAATTATCAAAAGCAATCGCATTTAGAACATCTGGACAGTCTGGACAAATACCTGCGAATCGTGCCTCTTCTCATACCGAACGGCAACGACACTCTCACACGACCGACGATAAGGCATCCTGACCTCCAACCTAATAACGTGTTCGTCTCGGATAACCTTGAGATTACCGGCCTGATCGATTGGCAACACTGCGCAATACTCCCGCTCTTTCTGCAATGCGGGATCCCAAACAGCCTCCAGAACTACGGTGACAGCGTCTCAGAATCGTTGACACCCCCTGAATTACCACAGAATTTCGACGAATTGAGCGAAAGAGAACAATTTAAGCAAGTTGTGCTCCTGCGTAGGCGTCAACTTCACTACTTCTATGTCACAATAACCGCAAAGCTGAACTCGACGCACTACGATGCCCTGACATACGATCTTAGCACGCTGAGGCGCAAACTCTTTCATCACGCAAGTGATCCCTGGGAAGGTGATAACGTGACCCTAAAAGCCGACCTGATTCAGCTCACAAAGAACTGGTCGAAGATTATCAGTTCAAAATCGAGCACGAGCAGCAAAGCGAGGCCCCCTTGCCCGATCACCTTCCGGGAAGACGAGGTAAGCGACTGTTTGCGCCTGGATTCTGCACAGGTCGAGGCAGACGAGCAACTCGAAGCTTGCAGGGATATTATTAGCGTTGGGCCTGAGGGGTGGGTGCCCTCGGATCAGTATGAGGAGGCTAAGCAACGCGAAAGTAAGCTGAAAGTCGATGCGCTTGATGCAGCTGAGTCTGATGAGGAAAGAGCGAGGGTATACGAGCATTGGGTTTTCGATGACTTTAATGAGGAGGAGTATTCGTAGCAAGTGACATGATCAAGCAGAAAGACAGTGATCTTATTGGATTGGAGCTATTGGAGTGGATTGGATGGATCGAGATTTCCGTTGGAGTTGGATTGGAGCTTTCTACTGGAGTTGGATGGATGGATTGGACCTTATGGAGCTACTGGAGCTCCAGTGCCTATACCGTATCAGGCAGGGGATCCACCTGTAGAGCCAATAGGGACCCGCGGATAGAAGCTCGAGCCATTGCGTTGGCATCGCGTTACCACTAAAAACATCACAATCTCGTCTCACCTGCGCGCTAGAGGCTCTCAAAGACGATGTCAATGTCGCGTTTGATAGAGAGGCCAACGCTGAAGAGGATTGGTTAATTGATTGATTGATTGATTGATTCGATCCTACTCGGTTTCAGCCGCGTTATCTGCAGCTATGCCCAGATGCGGAGATTTAGCAGACTGCCGAAGCTTTGCCGAACGAATCAGCGCGTCCCACTTCACCACACTAAAGGTGTGGCCAGCTGTCCCCTTGCCTCCACTTGTGGTCTGGCGTCTATCTACAACTATGTACATTTTCGCCACAAGGTAGGAATCCACTTAGAGGCATATAGGAGTGCGTGGGGACTTAATGACCTAGGAACTCCATTAACACCTATAGGCCTTATACAAAGGATATTAGAAAACTACTAAGCTAGCTACAGGGGAGGTACAACTAAATACATAAGGGAATAGAGGTAACAGCAGGGGGCTAGGCAGAGTTAGGGCCAGGTCAAGGTCAGGGCTGATACAAGGGCCTTCTAGAGGTTCTAGGCTGCTTAAGATAGAACAATTCATAAGAATTATTACACTACTCCCCCCCTCTGTAGGTGGGGGTATTGCTGTTATGTTCTCTGCCTCTTTAGAAACTAAAACTAGTCTAATTTAGCTAGGTGTCCTTGTTCTAAAATATTCCTTTGCACTGCTAGCAGTGTCCTCTAAACTAAACGCCATGCGTGCGCGCCTGTTCTAATAGTAATCTGTATAGATGTCTAGCCTATTAATAATTAAGACTTACCCTTTGTTCTTTGCTATCTATGCAGTTATTAATCTTAGGCGTACGTTTAGTGTAGTAACATTTAGGCGTTATTAGGGGTGCCTTAAAGGTTTCTTGCTATTAGAGTAGCAGGGGTGATTTAAGGCATTATTAGAGGTGATTTAGTAGTTAATTAAGGTCTATTAGGACATGTTGCTATAGATTAACTCTAAATTAGGTGGGGTATAGCTTTAGGTCCCGCGGAAGCAGGTTTAGCTGTTAACAAAGTAGTGGTTAGTAGTTAGAAGTTAGTAGTTAAGAGTTAGGCATTAGCAGTTGTCTTTAATCCTAATAAGTTATTAGTAGTCTCTAAGTTTCTACCTTAGCGCACTCTATATAACTTTTCTAAAGGCAATTCTAATTATAGGGTATAGGAAGTTCTAAACCTAAAGGCTTTAGTTAATAGAAGGTCTCTAGTATTCTATCTATAGACTAAATAGTTTAATATAACAGTGTGTAAGTATTATAACCTAAACTAAATTAGACGCGTCTTAGAGCTTAGACATAGTTAAATAAATAATTAGTGTAATATTATAATAAAGCTATTACTAGTAAAAGTAAGTTTTTTAATATAATATAACAGCACAGGCAAGACAATAGGTTTAAATGCAGTAGAAATCTACTTAGAGGCATATAGAAGTGCGTGGGGACTTAATAACCTAGGAACTCTATTAACACCTATAGGCTTTGTATAAAGGATATTAGAAAACTACTAAGCTATCTATAGGGGAGGTATAACTAAATACATAAGGGAATAGGGGTAACAGCAGGGGGCCGGGCAGAGTCGGGGCCAGGTCGAGGTCGGGGCCGATACGAGGGCCTTCCAGAGGTTCCGGGCCGCTCGAGATGGAACGATTCATAAGAATCGTTACATAGGCCTTGTATAAAGGATATTAGAAAACTACTAAGCTAGCTATAGGAGAGAGGTGCAACTAAATACATAGGGGAATAGAGGTAACAGCAGGGGGCAGGGCAGAGTTGGGGCCAGGTCGAGTCAGGGTCGAGGCTGATACTGTAACGGCACAGGCAAGACAATGGGTCCGAATGCAGTGGGAATCCACTTAGAGGCATATAGGAGTGCGTGGGGACTCAGAACCTAGGAATGCTATTAACACCTATAGGCCTTGTACAAAAGGATATTAGAAAACTACTAAGCTAGCTAAGAGAAAAGGTGCAACTAAATACATAAGAGAATAAAAGTAACTGCAAAGAATAGGATTAAGTTATAGTTAGAGCTAATACAGAGACTCTTTAGATAGGATCTAAGCAACCTAAAATAAAATAATTTGTAAGAATTATTACGCTACCTCTCTTTTTATAAGCTAATAGTTTTTATTTATAGTGTATAAGAAATATTTAGAACTAATTTAAAACTAATTTAAATAAGATATAATAAAGTATAACTTTTTAATAAAAATTTTCTATTACTAAAAAAAACTAGACTAAAAACTTAATACTAATATAATGCCTTTATTATAATGTTTTTATTTAGTAGTAACTAGTAGTATAGTTGTTATTAATATAGTAAATTTATTATTTATAGTAATAAGTGTTTACTTGTCTTACCTATATAGTTTAGTTAATGTTATTAGTTTTTTTTTTTAGCTATCTTTTAAATCTTTACTATGTAGGTATTATTATGCACTTAACATCTTATAGCTTAGTCTGCTAACTAATTATAGCATTAAAGAAAATTACTATACTGCTTTACCTCTCTTCTAGAGCCTCTTTAGAAGTGTTTTAAGTTATCTGCTTTTAAGCTACCTATACTTTTACTTATAGCCTTTAAGTTAAGTTTTCTTATTAGTTCTTTAAATTAAAGAAATATAAATATTACACTTTATATAATAAAAAATACAACTTTATATAAATATAGTTTAATACTACTAAGGTATAGTTTACTAACACGCGCATAGGTCTTTTTTTATTATAAGAAGAAATTTCTAGTCTTTTAAAGCTATTTTAAGCTATAAGTAGCAGCCTAAAATATAAAAAGTAAAAAAAATAAAAAAAGGCTTTTAAAGCTATTTTAAAGTTTACTTAGAACCTAGCGTAAGTAGCGTAGGTTATAAAAAGCTAAAAGGCTAGGCTTTTTATAGCTAGTGTTTAAGTAGCTTTATTCTACTAAAACATTAAGCTGCTTTATTAGGTTTTAGCTTTAAAAGCTTTAGTGTTTAACCTTTAGGCAGACATTATAGCGCTTTTAAGTAGCTAAGAATAAAGTAAAGAGGGTTTAAAAAAAGTTTAGAGAAGAGAAAAGTAAAGATAAAAAAAAAGAAAAAAGAGTAAAAAAGAAGAAAAAGAAGAGTCTAAAAGTGTTTAATAGCTTACTATTAAACCTCTCTAGCATAATGTCTATAAAGTTATAATACTATTATGTATAACTATTAATTTACTTTTTACTTTTATACTTTATTATTTACTAAGTAATTTATGCCTTTTACACTAGCTTTAAAAGCCTTAATTTACTTATGTAAAGCTTTTAAAAGTTTTAACTAATTTAAATGCTTATTATAAAAAGCCTTTAGTTTATAAAAAGAACCTATAAAATTTAAAGCCTTATACTAGACTAAATTAAAGTTATGTTTTACTTATTTTACTTAGTACTTAAGCATTTTCTAGTAAAGCTTACTAGTAAGTATTTTTTTTACTTTCTACTTTTTTACTTTATTAATAGCAATTCTAGGGGGTTTTAAAGGTACTTATCTTAGAAGCAGATTCTAAGAGTCTTTATAAAGTATATTTAGTGTAAAGATGTTATGTATCTTTAACTTTAAAAGTAGCTTTAAGTAGTATAAGTTTCTAACTTATTTAAGTACTTTAAAAAGTCCTTTTTATTATTTAAATAGTTTTTAGCTAAGTCTCTAAATAGCTAGGTTCTTAGTGTCTAAGTAGACTATGTTGCTAACCTTCTAGTTAACTAGCTAGTAGTAGTAGTTAACTACAGTTTACATCTAATTTTAGGCCTTTTTTATATAAGTCTTAGCTAACTTCTAGGCTATGTGCATGCAGGTTGCTAATGCTAGATGTGAAGCTATGTAGAGCACTAAAGACATGAGGAACTAGATTGTATTGCTAAAGGAGGGCAACTACAGGTTTATATAGTACTAGATAAACCTATTATGTGACTTAAGGCCACTAATAGCTCTAGGCTGCAGCAGGTGGCATTGCTAGGCAGCAGTACGCTAAAGGAGTGTTAGTGGCTAGCGCATAGAGAGCTCTGTAACTTCAAACACTAGAGCATCCTTATAATTTAGCTTGTCTATAGCTATAATAGGTTCTATAGAATGTTTTTAGTCCTAGCTTTAACATAGTTTAGAGCTATATAAAACTTAATACAAAGACATTTTAATTATTATATAAAGTAAAGTTATCTAAGCCTAATTAATTAAAGGTAGTAAGAAACTCTAGTTATTTTAGTAAAAATATATAAAAAGCTTTAGTGTAAGGCTAGATGTTCTAGAACAGGCTAGTATAGCCTCACCTAACCTGTTTAGAGGTTATATAACCTGTGCTTTATATATAAGCATAAATCCTAACAAGTAAGGCTTAGCAGCAATTTGTCTTTTTTATAATACACTTTTATCTTTCTTTAAAAGCTTGCTTTTAGTGCTATTTGTGCTACTTACTATTCTATCTTTACATTTAAATTGCTCTATAAGCTAGCATACTACTTAAGGGCAACATTTCTACATAATAGTGTTAAAGTAAAACGCTAGAGAAGAATTAAATATAACTAGCACTTAAAAACTACCTAAAAAGCTAGCTAAAACTACTACATTTAGTAATACTTAACTAGGGTTAACACTAACGTAAGAAGGAATAAAGTAAGAGATAAGTAAAAAAGATAATAAAATATTTTATAAATTAGGTTTATTAAGCTATCTGTAAGGCCGGGATGGCGCTTACGTGTAAGGCCGAGATGGTGCTTATGTACAACGGGTATATATACTATTCTGTACGCAATAATTAACTGTTAGTTAATTATTCGCACCTTTTTAGTTGTATTAGCGTAGTGGTACAGAGCTCTGTCCTTACATAATAATTAACTAACAACAAGGACAGTCGCGCGTTTAACCCACACCTTAGACAGCTTTACTAGTTTTTAGACTAAAACGTGAGGCGGCCTCTTCTAGCGCCACGTTGTTGCTGCTGGGAGGTCTAGTGTATATGGCTTAGCTGGCGTGGGCCACTAAGCGTTGCGTCGTGTTTATCCCGCGCCTCTGGGCCGCAGGTGGTCAGCCTCTGGCCGGTAACCGAGACATGCGCATAGGCGCCTCTGAGCTGCGGGTAGGTCATGTGACGCCTGGGACATGCGTCTGCTAAGAAGGGGGATAATGTAAGGCTGGGATGGCGCTTACGTGTAAGGCTGAGATGGTGCTTACGTACAACGGGTATATATACTATTCTGTACGCAATAATTAACTGTTGGTTAATTATTCGCACCTTTTTAGTCGTATTAGCGTAGTGGTACAGAGCTCTGTCCTTACACTATCTAAAAGGTGTTTAGAGCCTAGAAGGGGTTAGAAGGGCTAGTGCAGGACTAAGCAACGCACAGTCTACCCCCGCAAATTAGGCTTTAGCAGAAGCCTACACCTAGCTGCAAGAGTAGCAGAAAGTGTAAAAACTAGTTAAAATAATAAAAATCTATTATTAATTTAAAGTAAGTAATATAAACACACTTAATAAGTTACTAACTAAGGCATTAAATGTTATTATACTAAAACTTACCTAAAACTAAGTAAACCTACTACGTTCTAAACTGCTACACTAATATAAAAAGAAAAATAAGGCAGACTATAACTAGTAGTATAGAGATAATAAGAACTATTATTAAAAAAGTTTATTAAGCTTTACTTAAAAATTACAGAAGATCTCTTTTAGCCTATAATACATTAATAAGACACTATAATTACTATAAAAGACACACTACACTTATTTAAAGCTTATTAACTTATTATAGTTACTAACATAGTAAGATTTTAAAAATAAGATGCTTAATGCATTAAGTACTTTAGTAAAATAAAAAAAAGTAGCTTATAACACTATAAAAAACTATAAATAATAACTTAACTAGTTTCTAACTAAACTTCTAGCCTACTTTAAGCTATTATAGACTAAAGTTAATAAGAAGAGCTTAAATAAAATAATAGTAGACTTTAGTAGTACACTATTTAACAAGATTAAGCATAATCTAATATATATCCTATAAAGTAAGCAAGAGACACTAGCTTAGGTAAAAAGTAAAGCAACATATCCTACTGCTGCCTATAGAAGGGAAAAGAGCTAAAGTTAATAAAAAAAAGAATATAAAAGCGTTTTACTTTACCTCTAGCTAATAAAAACTTAAAAAAGCTTAGAAAAAAAATAAAGCCTTTAAGCTAAAAAAAAAAGTAAAAAGAAAGTAAAAATTTAATAAAATAAAAGTTACTTACTAAAATTATAAGCAACTAAGTTATATTTCTCTAGATTATTTTATAAAAGACAAAAATAAAAATAAGTTTAATAAGAATAAGTAAAAGAGAATAAAGTAGGGCTAGAAAAACTAAGCTTTTTTTTTTAGCCTATATTACTTTAAAAAGTAATAAAAAGAAGCTTAAAAACCTTTAAAACTTATTAACGTACCTAACAGGTTAGCTGGCTACACGGGTTAGCCGGCCACTTTTGCCAAGCCCCTACTAAAACTACTCTATTCTCTCGCAAAACAGCCTACTTTAGCCCTATATAAAGTAATATAATATAAGATATTATTTAGAGTTTACTTTTACTACTTACTTATATGTATGTAAGTTATGCCTAGTTTAATTACACTACCTGTATTACTTTTAACTTAGCTTACCTTCTTTAGTGTGCACTTATGTCTTTAGCTTTTTTCTATTACTATGCGCTTTAAACTTCTTTAAAGTAGTTAGACAAGCCTTATTTTTAACTATTAAGGTTTTTTTTACTTAAATTTACTTTCTTTTATGTAATCTATATTATATAGTAGCTTTATTTACTGCTTAAAGCTTTATAATTTTATAGCCTACTCTATTATGTTAATGCCTTAGATAACTATTATCTACTTTTTATTAC